CACCATCATACACCATCTGAAAACCATCTGACACACTTCGACCATCATACACCATCATACACCATCTGACAACCATCTGACATACTTCGACCATCATACACCATCTGTACCATCTTCACCATCTGACAACCCTTCTCTGTATAACCACCCTACACCATCATACACCATCTGAAAACCATCTGACACACTTCGACCATCATACACCATCATACACCATCTGACACACTTCGACCATCATACACCATCTGTACCATCTGCACCATCTGACAACCCTTCCCTGTATAACCACCCTACACCATCATACACCATCTGACAACCATCTGCCACACTTCGACCATCATACACCATCTGTACCATCTTCACCAACTGACAACCCATTCCTGTATAACCACCCTACACCATCATACACCATCTGACAACCATCTGACACACTTCGACCATCATACACTATCTGACAACCATCTGACACACTTCGACCATCATACACCATCTGTACCATCTGCACCATCTGACAACCATCTGACACATTTCAACCATCATACACCACCGTACACCACCTTCACCATCAGACATCAGGTGCCTGTATTGGACATTACTCAAAATTCGCTGGTTTTCGTATAAAATATATTATTTCGTCAGACTTTGATCGATGTGAAGCTTTCTTCTAACTTTTATCTAGTATATTTCAATAATACCTGGTCAATCTGTATCGATAAATTAGCAAATATTCATTCTATAAACGCAGACGCTACAACGCACGTGTTTACGAATCCGCCATCTCACCGCACGTGTTTACACCGCAAGTGTTTACGAATCCGCCATCTGAGGCTCTCCACTCCTTCAGAGTTGTAAATCCCGTTTCGCGGCGTTATAAAGCCATACTACTCCAAATTTTTTTCTCAAAATTCTTCTTGCATGCTTCTATCTTTGTGATTGTAAAATTGGCCCGGTCAGAAACGTAGCCAAGGCAAATAATTCTCATTCGAATAAGTTGATGGAAAAATCATGCACGACTATATATAAATTTAATCGATTTCAAAACTCGATTTCTTATATACTGTATATACAGTTCATCACAGTATTATCACTTCGACTCTGTCTCGATCCGTACAATATTTGCGCCATGCGGTTGCGCTGTCATACCATAGAAAATTTAGCTACAGTAAGATCAATACTTGGCAATTAAAGATTGAGGAGACACCTATAGTTCCGAGTATATGTACACTATGTTTGTTAAACATTTGATATAACGCATTTATTGAAACGTTTTGGGCATATTAATTTATGGCCGTATTAAAAACGGTGATCCGATATACTATTATAACTTACTTGATTGCGCTTAATTTGCGCTATACTATTTGCTGGAATTTCGCTGACGTAGCTATACCCCTCCTGGTAGTTTCACCAACATTGTATTCTTGAAATGCATATCCAAGCCAACAAACTCCAGTAAACCCAGCAAGAACAACGAAGAACATAATAAAACTGAAGTGCTGCGTTATAAAAGCACGCAAATTTGTCTTCCCACACTAAATGTGAGCTGTATTTGACTATTTGTATATAGCTTGAGGCTTGGCCGTCAGCCTGTCTACATGGCCAAGATGCGCAAACCTGATTAGATATCAGATAAAATTGGCAGAAAAGACGTTCAGAGTTCGATTAATGTAGAAATGAATAATATAAAAGTATAGAACTTTAAGACAGCTTTTTCTATATATTGACTATAACCACGCATCAACTAATGTTTCAGAAATTGCACTTTTTCAAATGTCACTCAATTTGAAATGACAAATTTAATACAGACTACAGTAGTGAATATAGTGTATAATTCTTTACAGACTCGTAATATACGATCGTAAAGTTAATATCATTAAACATGCATCGACATTCATTAAATTAATACATTTTATGAATTATTTATGATGTATTATAATCCTCTAAAATTGTTCATGAATAGTTCATGGTAGTTCACAAAGCGAAATCATGAACGTTCATGAATCAGTACAAATTCATCAAAATTTCATGATATGTTCATCAAGTAAATTCTATGAATTTTTCATGAATAATCAGTTCATAAAATATTCAAATGAACATTGATGAACATTCATGAACTATTCTGTTCAAAACAAAAAGTTCATGAACTGATTGGCCATTCATCAACTGTTCATGAACAGTTCATGAAGAGCATTCAAGAACACTTCATGAACACTTGTTCATGAACCATAGGTAAAATATTTGATGAGCGGAGCATGAACTGTTCATGAATTTACATGAACGTTCATGAATGCACCATCAAAGTTCATGACTTCATGAACAAATTTTCGCCGGGGTAGTGGTGGTTGTGGATACTTTTGGTATATTATGTACTTTAATGGATTATAATGAGCATTTTATGGATTATGTCTGGACATATGTACCTCTATATCAACGGTTACCCACAGTCATCGATGTACCTCGATATTATGGAGCTGCACTATGGTTAAAGTGAGGTCTACCTTAAGGTACAGATTTTCATTGTTAGCCTGCTATTGGGCAGTAGTTAGCCTGACAGGCAATAGTTAGCCTACTATCAGGCCGTACTTAGCGTGTTTCAGGTAATGGTTAGCCTGCTATCAGGCAGTACCTGTATTTCGGTATTGAATTTGTACTCATGACTCTAGTTTGCATGTGTGCGGTGAAGTCTCTGGGTAGGCTAAAAAATGTAGTACATTTTCACACAATTTTTCCGATGCTTGCATGGTTACAAAAACGTTGACCTAACCTTGACCGCGTGATATGCCACATAATGTTGTGATTTTTGGTGCTTATTATGTTGAAACACGATTGCTATGAGTATACAAATTTATAATGCATTGGTATCTCACCTCATTGTGAAAACCCTAGCATATGCCGCATGTGCATGTGTTAGAATGTGTCAATGTATTGATTTAATTAAGTTTAGTTTAGTTTATGCCAAATCCATTGACGTAATAGCCAGAGTAAACGTTGGACAGGAAGGACGTTTACTACAGTTAATAAATAATAGTGCATGATATAGACTGTGTTGAGAACACATGTTAAAGAGTTAAGTTTACGCTCTTGAAGAGGTAACATCAACGACGAAGTCAGATCAAGATAGAAATATTAAGTGTGATATATAATCTATATATAACCAATCAAAGTTTATATACCTATAATAAATAAAGTTTTGGAGCAACTATTGTGTATGCATTGGTAATCCTAACTGGCAAAAAGTAACCTGTATGGCACGAGGTAACACAACCCTGTGTTAACGTAGGCAAGTGTGCACAATTGTAGCTACAATTTTAATGATATTAAACAATATTCAATTTGTTTAATTTATTTGTACTGTACAAATAACTAAAATTTTCAAAAATTGGTCCAAATTCTGATGAACAAACAAGAATATATATTTCGTTTATACATATTTAAAAATTTAATATTATACAACACAAAATAGCATGTTTTGCAATGTTTTGCACACTTTGTGTCCTTGTAAGTTGTAAAAGGAAAATTAATTTACATGTCCTTGTAATTGAGTTGCATGTAAATGGAAAAGTGTGCACTAGAAAATGCCATTTCTGACAATGTAGAGACTCCAAATTTCAAAACATTTCTTGTGTGCCCATGCTTACATGCTATATGGTTTTGTTCAGTCATGAAAACCTCATGATGATCGCAAAACTCTGCTGTAGATAGAAATTCAAAACTTTAACCCATTGAGTGGCAGCACTCTCCACTTGACGAGTAAAATATTCTGGCATTAGACAGAGTAAAATACAATTACTAAAGTAGGCCGCATCGGGGTGCATTAATTTGTCACTTAAGGGGTCAAGAGGATACAGAGTCAGTTTTATTCTACAACCCATTGAGTGGCAGCACTCTCCACTTGACGAGTAAAATCATCTGACGTTAGACAAAGTAAAATACTCTGGCATTAGACAGAGTAAAATACTAAATGAACTAATGAACTAAAATAATAATGAACTAATGAACTTTTTTGCACCCATGAATCAACATTCACAATTTTCAGGTGGTTGTTATTATTACACTTGTCTTAGAAGTCCTTATTTTAATGCATGACAAAACTGGAAAAAATCTGAAATATATGTTAATTAGTGTGCGATACCATATATTGGCCATAGCCCGTGTGCAGGCCCACCAAGGGAAGAATAGTTGGCCTGCAAGCAAGACCCAGTATTTTGTACTTTCCGTGTTCGCTGGGCCTGCATGCACGCAGGCTACATTGGCCAAAAAATCTTGTGTGTGCATTTGCCAGACTCTGCAGTCTGGCATGCATGCAGTCTCTCCCCTCTATGAGTCGAGTAAATAAAGTAGAAAACATATAGCCTAGCTCTTAAATTAAAGGGTTAAAGTGTTAATGTATTTCCAGAGCATTTCTATTTTCACATTCCAGAGGGGTAAAAATCTTGAAAAGCAGAGCTATCTAGGTTCCCCAACATGAGGGCCAGCCAGTTCTAAGGAAGGGTTTGGTTTAGCCCATTTTAATTGACATCTAGGTTATTACATTTCCCGGCATACTTAAAGGAGGCCCACCAAGGGTGTAAACCAGGTCGCTTATCACTCATTTTGTGGCTGCTTTGTCGCCTTGTTTTATTGTAATAAATGTCGCTGTCACTTTTGATCCACAACACAAATCATGAACAGTAACTTTTTCCCAGTCATAAATTGTTGTTTGTCGCTCTTTTTAGATAGTCTGTCACCTCTTTTTAAGGAATGTCGCCTGTCGGTCATAACCCCTTGAAGGTCTCTTAAAGATGATGTCCACTTACTGGTCACCGCAGGAGGTAATTAATTATGCCAAGCATAACCCCTTGGTGGGTCTCTTAAAGATGATGTCCACTTACCA